CTTACCCAAGTCTTTCTGATAACAAGAAGACTATTAATCTTTCGATTAATTTAGGTTTATTGTAATAAAGTTTCTACAATGACATTATATTTAATAAAAAAAAAAAAAAAAAAAAAATATTTACCAATAATATGCAGGGTCTTGAGAAACCACTATAACAAGTCACTAGATCAATACCGATGGTGCCAAACTGATAAAGCAAAGAGCCTACAGAGCGGCGCTAAATGAATATGAGTATATAGAAAAGGAACTAAAAGAAATGCAAGAAAGGGATTTGATTCAGAAGTCCAGTAGCCCATGAGCTTCGCCCGTAGTTATAGTCCCAAAGAAAGATGAGAAGCTACGCCTTTGTATAGATTATAGGAAGTTAAATAAGGTTACAAGACAAGATGCATACCCACTGCCAAGAATAGATGACCTATTGGAAACCTTTAGTACTGCAAGTTGGTTTACTAGTTTAGATCTAAAGAGCAGATACTGGCAGGTGAGAGTCAAAGAAGAAGACAAGGAGAAGATGGCCTTTTAATGTGGAGTGGACTTTATGAGTTTAATGTTATGCCATTTGGCTTGCCGAACGTGCCAGCTACCTTCCAGCACCTAATGAACCATGTTTTGGCAAAGTATATTGAGAAGTTTGTAGTTATGTATATCGACAATATCAATGTATATTCAAAGACGTTCGACGAACATTTGGGGCATCTAAAGAAAGTATTTGATAAGTTGGCTAAAGCAGAATTAAAAATCAACATTGAGAAATGTGATTTTTTTAAACCCACCATTCATTTCCTCGGACACATAATTGGAAGGCAAGAAATACAACCTGACAAAAATAAAGTAGAAAAAATGAGAAATTATCCAATACCAGGTACACTACGCCAGTTAAGGGGGTTCATTGGCCTTGCATCAAACTACGAAAGTTCATACCTGGGTTTGCCGCATTAGCAAGGCCTCTACACCATTTATTACAAAAAGAAGTTAGTTTTCGTTGGGGATAGGAGCTACAAGAAGTATTTGAGGTGTTACAAAATCACCTAATGATGGCACCTATTCTTAAGTACTTTGATTTCGACAATAGGTTTTACTTGTACACTGATGTATTCAGCAACGGATTAGGGGCTGTTCTGGCCCAGAAAGATGAAGGCAAGAAGAAACATGTGATTTTCTATACTAACCGCAGCTTATCTAAGGCTGAAAGAAATTACTTAGTGTGTAAATTGGAGTGCCTGATGGTTATTTGGACAGTTAAATACTACTATTATTATTTTGGCTTTAAGCCATTTAAAATTATAACGAACCACTCGGTACTAAAGTGGCTACATAGTACGAAGTTGAAGGAGCATAGGACATGATAGATACTCTAGCTACAACCATACAACTATACAATTCAACACAGATCAGGAAGTACTCACCTGAATACAGACGCATTATCAAGAATAAATGAGACAGAAGAGAAAATTGCAGAAGTATATATGGTGGAAGAAAATAGGAAACAAACTCGGAAGAAGCTACAGCTAATGAAAAGGAATTGAACAAAATGGGTATCACTATAATAAATGCGGAGGAAGAAGAATAGTATATATTAATGGCTGGCTACATACCCAACGATCAAGCAGATAATAATTGCAAACCTAATCGATATGAAGAATGAATAAGTGATGAAGATAAAGATTATCAAGAGCTGCTAGAACAGCTAGTGTTGGAATTGGGTTATATACTAACCTTGATGAGGTATGATGCCATGAAAAGATGCGGTGGTCCAATGTCGAATATGAAAAAAACCAACCAAGTCTCGATGAAACGTATAGTGTCAAACCACCAAAGTGGGGAGAACCAGATAGAGGAGTTGATTATAGTAACGATGATGAATGGGATAATGAGAATATTGAAACATGGTGGCAACCAGAAGAAGATTGTATGGGTGACCAAGAGTGGAGAAATAATTGGTACAATGATGCTGAGGAATGTAAAGTGTTTATGATTAAAGTGGTGAATGGCGACTAAGAAGAAGAAACTATTTAGCCAGAACTGGAAGATTACTCACCTGCTCTTAGATTTTTCAATAATGGAGTTCCTGGCCTTGGACTTCTTACTAGCCCATTTCCTAACTCTGAAGAAAGTACAGGGAGAAGATTCGTAATTGAAGAATACCAGAGAGAATTAGAATTTTGAGAATCAGCCTTAGAAGCATTAGAGTCAGATGATGAATCCACCCAAAGCAGAGGTGTGGTAACACCGAGCAAAACGGGGTCAGAAAATTGTAAAAAAAATACTAACCCAGAAACCGATGAAGACGACAAATTCTAATACAGCCATGATAATGACAAAACTGTAATAACCCAAAAAGAGAAAGATAGATACCATGAAATAAGTAAAGAAAAAGAAGTATTTATGATAAAAATAGAAAATGAAGATGAACAGAAAGAAGGTATTGAAGTAAAAAACATCATATCATGACCCAGTGAATGGACCCTTACTAAAATAAATGGCCAAGCATGGACCCAAAGTATGACATCACTATACTTTCAGAAAATAACTGGTGACTATCATAGTGCATTAAACTTTCTACACCTGACCTGATTCTACAGAAAGATCTTTCATATGTACTTCCACTCGATAGAACTCAAACACTTTACTCTGAAAGTGATAAACTGAGGCAAGACCATATACTTGACGGAGCAATTTGGATACCAACTTATTGCATATGACTCGAGAAACCTGCTGATTTTAAAAGAATGGATCATGGCTAGTGCCCAACAAGAGCTAGCACGAAGAGAGTATTTAATAGCAACTGGAATTGACTTAGGTTGCATAGAACAAATAAACGTTAAAGCTGTCAACACTTATAAGAAGGACCAATTACATGACTACCAAAGATTTATTATCTAGGAATCAACATCCCCCAGAGACAATTCAATACTTATGGAATTATAAAAAAAAAAAAAAAAACAAAAAAAAGAGAGAAGAAAAAGTACAATACTGCAAAACACCAAATCTGATGATAAATACAATTCAGTTCAGGTGGTCAGTGTCCTGGCAAAAGAAGTACCAAAAATGAAAGTAGAAGACTATAACTGATTAAAGAGATATTTGCAAGAAGGATATATAGAAAACAACCTAGATAAAAAGCAAAGAAAACAAATGATTAACCATAGTAGAACATTTTTACTAAAGAACAGTTTATTATATAAGGTAAATAAAAAGAATCAAAACCAACCTTTAAAAGTGGTCTGGAAACACAAGATCGACCCTATTCTTTTATTGATGTATAATTACCTACTCGGAGGGCACTTCGGGGCTAAAATGAAGTTTAAAAAAATCTGCAAAATCTATTATTGGCCCCAAGCATTTGAGTATATTAGAAAATATATTCAATCTTGTAAAAATTGTCAAAGAAGAGAGAAAAATAAATATAGCAGAACTTTACAGCCCATACCGGTAATGATGCCATTTTATAGAGTAGGGATAGACATTGTTAGACCCCTTCCGATCACATCAAAAAACTCCTGCTATATAGTCATGGCAACCAACTTTATAATGAAATAGCTGGAGGCCTGAGCCATTTCAACCATAGACACTCAAAGTGTAGCAGATTTTATCTTCGAGAATATTGTGTATAGGCATGGATGCTCTGTGAAAATACTATCAGACCATGGTACCCACTTTAGGAATCAACTAGTCAACAAGCTATTAGAAAAATTCTAAATAAAGTATTTGTTATCGACACCATACCACCCACAGACCAATGAGTTGGTAGAAAGATACAATAAAACCTTGTGTGAATCCATTGCAAGATCAATAGTGAATGTAAGTGATTGGGATATGATCATACCTGCAGTATTGTTTGTGTACCAGACTTTCAGAAATGTGACTACCAAAAACACTCCCTTCTACTTGATGCATGGAAAGAAGGCCTGACAACCTGTTAAACATGATGATCTATTAGAAGGGACGATGATACAAAGGATATTCCAATTGTTAGAAGATTTACTAATAATATGTTATGAGGCTATGCAGAGGACCCAACAAGCACAACAAAAGCAAAATGAATGATATGATCAGAAAGCTACTTTTCTACCTGATTTGGATATTAGTGATAAAGTATTGTTGTACCGAGCATTAAAAAAGTATAATAGAAGCATAAAGCTGGAACCAAAATAGGATGATCCATTTTACATCCATTAAATACTAAAACAAGATATTTATAAATTAAGAACCATAGAAGAAAAGATCTTGGCAACACCATTTAATATTGCATTGCTAAAAGAGTACTACGATCAATGTTAAAAAAAAAAAAAAAAAAAATCAGTAAAAACAAAAGAGATCCAGAAAATATAGATGAACTGCCAAAAAAAGTAAAAGACTTTTAAAGAAGATCAATATAAAGTCAAGAGTAAGAAAGAAATAAAAAGGATACGAAAATACGGGGGAAAGAGAGTAAAAAAACCAAGATTGGCAAAATCCTCTCTTATATACCCAAAATGGTTAGAAGTTTAATCACATTGGATGAAATCATCAATAACATCACTCGATCTGAACCTATTGAAATAACCCCGATATCACTGCTCTACAATAACTCACATGATCTGGTGAACTGTGTAACTTTGACATGTCTCCTACTTACTCGATCTATTTGGTTACAGGAAAGAATCAATATTTTGGTATACTCTGACTACTTGGGGATGATCTTTGCAGCAGCAACTCCAGCACAGAAGAGGTTATTTTGTGAAATGATTACACCTTACTATTACACCATCACTCTTAAGGTTTATGATATCTTTGTAGTTGTCAGAATGGACCAAATATACCATACTACAATAGTAACCTACCAGGATCTTAGAGTTTTAAGCATTGATAACGTAAAGCGAGTTAACATTAGAAGCTCGTGGAACTCGCCTTTAAACAGGGAGAAATGTGAGGTCTGGAAATCATGAATTGGAAATTGCTATGCCCGCTCACATTAACATGGTAGGATGATCTATTGCTTAAAAAGGAGTTGCCAGTGATATATTAAATATATTGAAGAAATTAAATATATCCCAGATAACCAATATAATGAAGATAATAGATAAAACTAATTTAATAGTTATAGAAGATATAATAGTTTTATTTGTTATAATCAATTTAATCATTTTAATAAATATAAGAGATATAATGATTATAATAAGTACTAAGCAAAAGTTTATTATAAATAAAGGCGTTATCGCCCCAAAAAAAATCATATTTCATTTGCTTTACTAATAACCAATTCTCAAATTTATTAAATACATTGCCCATAATATTGTATAAAAATACTATTGCACGGATACACTTTTTGAACCCTAAAGTTATAATTTGTCATTTGTTAAGCCCTTGTTCACCTGACCTAGCATTGCTGACTCAGAGTGACCGAAGCCTTAAATCACCCACCAGCCAAATCTAACACACCTCTTTCGTAAGGTTACTAAGGTTACTATCCACAAGTTATGCAAGTTCTTGGATTGTGAAGCGACTGAGTCACAGTCTGTTAGATTATTACAATATAGAGCTCTATTTGCTCTGCAGAAACCTTTGATTTTGCTAAATATATTTACTATATAATAAGAATATAATTAAAATATAATTAAAATATTTTTATTCTGTTAATTCGTGATTCGCCAAAAATGGAAAGAAAATGCATAAGGCCATACAAATTTAATTACATGGTTTTTATAACATTAAATTTTAAAAATAGACCCGGCCGGCCAGCTTTTTTTTTAAATTTCATATATAAAATTTTATAAAATTTATATAAAAAATTTTTTTAAATCTACCCGGATATTAAAACATATAAAAATTTTTTTTTAAAAGTTTTCAAATTTTGACCCGGCCGGGTTATGAAAACCAATTAATTAATGTTGCATGGCCTAATATAAATCAGGACAAAAATTTTAAAATTATATATAAAAATTTATTTAATACAAACTTTTAAGTTACAAAAATTTGCACTTTTTTTATGTGAGAGCCCAAGTTATATAAATATGTTTATGAACCAATATCACTCGAGTATTTTATCATAAGAATAGGAAGCGATGTCGTTTGATTATTTTTATGTTATTCTCATTCTGGCTCTGGATTATGAGTTAAAAATAGACAGAAGTGTAATACTTTCTATAGACAAAAGGTCAAGTAAATCAACATATATAAGCTACAAAATCCTTTATTTTTTATTTGGCACTTTTTTGACTTGAAACAGCTGCGTTGGCTTTTTTTGCTGCCTCCTTTTTATGTAATAATGAATACTGACTAATCCAGTTCTCAATCGTTTTAAAATTTGGAATCTCTTCAGCCTCTAACTCTTCCATTTGTTCTCTTTGTTGCAGATCTTGAAGCATTTCTTTTGCTGTATATCTCTCACTTTTATTCTTGTCACTAGTGTGAAAAAAGCTTTTCAATATTTCTTTTACAGTTTCTGTTATGTGTTTGCCTCCTCCCTTTTTTCTATATTCTTGATTTTCTTTCAAAGCCCACCCTGAATAAAAATAATATTTGTCTGATTTTTCTTAGAAATTTGTCTTTTTTTTTTGTCTTTTTGTTTCTTTGATTCTTCTGTTACCTCATCATTAATCACTATACATATTTTATATGTATCCTTCATCTCTACAAATAGAAATTGATCAATGTAATGTTAACCGAATATACCAAAATGAAAATAAAAAAAATTTTTTTGTTATACCCTTTATCATATTTGATGTTTTTTATTGAATATTCTCCTTTAATAGACTAATCAAGTTAGTTTTATTCTCGTCAGCATTATAACTCAAACCTCACTGTTCAAGTTCTCTTTTGATCTCTGATATTGACAACCTGGTTGGATCAGGGCCTATAATTGAACAGTCAAATTTTTTTTTGTCATATAGTATGATCATTAATGTCGATATTACAAAATTTGTTTAATTAATATAAATCATTGGTATAATATGCTGTTATATAGTATATTACTACTAATAATTTATTCTGACTGAACAAAGTAATGTTAATTATTGCTATAAATTTGCTTACTATTTGATGGTAAAGAAACTATCCAAGGTGTATCTATAATAGAATGGTCTAATACTTTAGGACTTGGCTTGGGTTGCTCGATTTCATCCCTTGATTTACTAATAACAGCAGACAAAAAATTGTTCTAAAAACTTGTAAGTTCACTATCTATTGGCCACTTAAATTCAAACCAATTTGATATTCCAGTGAGCTTTGGCTTTTTGATGTTCTTATAATTTCTATTTGGTTGAATA